TGTTTCTACTTGAGCATCCCTGTATTTTCACATTATCAGTTTTTTAAATCTTTGAGGACTAATTCACATAATTCACCAATTGTAAGTGGCCACTACCATCTTTTCCCCCATCTCCTCCTCCTCTCACACCCTGGTAGCCATCTGTCATCTTTTGTCATGATGGATCTACCTGTTCCTGGGATTTCATCTATGTGGGATCATATGTTTGTCTGTGTCTGCATTATTTCATTTAGCATGTTTTCAAGGTTCATCCATGTGGTGACATGTATCAGAACTTCATTTTTCTTTATAGCTGAGTAATACCCCATTGTATACATATACCATGATCTGTTTTCCATTCATGTTGATAGGCACTTGAGTTGTTTCCATTTTTCAGCTATTGAACTTTGGTGTACATGTCTTTTTGAGTTGCAGTTTTTTGTTTGGGTATACATCTAAAACTAGAATTGCTGCATCACAAAAGTCAAAAAGCCTATGTTTGACTTTTTTAGAAACCACCAAACTATTTTTCACAGCGGCTGCACCATTTTACATTTCCACCAGCAACATACAGGTTTTCCAATTTCTGAAAATCCTTACCAACGCTTGCTTTCTTTTTTAATAACCATCCTAGTGGGTGTGAAGTGGTATCTTCTTGTGGTTTGGATTTGCACTTCCCTGATGACTAATGATGTTGAGCATCTTCTCATGTACTTGTTGGCTGTGTATCTTCTTTGGAGAAATGTCTGTTCATGCCTTTTGCCCAAATATATTTCTTAAAAAACCTACCATTTCAAAATTATATGGCTACAATTATGCCTTTCAGATTTGGAGCCCTTAAGCAAGGTGATTTATATGGTAGAGTGATAGTTAATGAGGATATGTAAAGCCAGTTGGAATTTGTGAAACTTCTAATGAAATGTACAGGCCACAGTGGACTCAGTCTGCTTTTATTCCCCCTTTAGAAAGTGGTAATTCTGTTTTCTCACAGACTACAATACCTTTTACTCTAAGCATAGAGACCCTGGCCTTTAAATGCTTTGAAGTCATTTCCAGTGACCAGAGTCTCCATTCCCCTCAGTCACCCCCTTCAAAAGCTATATACCCTGGGCCTAGTCACCATGCAAAACCACTTCACCTCTGAAACCACAAATCTGGATGGCCCATTCTGACCAGATGACTTGCTCCACTACTCCCCACTCCACATCTCTTCTCTAAACCTACTGCAGCATCCAGTTCAGTGACCTCACCACTTTATTCCTGTGAACAGGTCTCTCACTTTCCTCTCTTCAGCTGAAATGACATAAACTGCCATTTTCATCACTCTTGCCAGCACCCAACTTCCTGACCTTTTGTCACACCATCTTGCAAACCTTTAATGCTTAGTGATTGAAACTCTGAACACTGGTTGTAATTTAGAAGTTTTATTTACCAGTTGCCGTCAAGTTGACTCCAACTCGTGGCGAACCCCATGTATGTCAGAGTAGAACTGTGCCCCATAGAGGTTTCGTGGCTCGTGTTTCAGCAGCGGATCTGCCAAGCCTTTTTTTCTGAGAAGTCCTCTGGGTGGACTTGAGCCGCCAGTCTCTCAGTCATCAGCCATTTGCACCACCCAGGGACTCCCTTTCTTATATAGAAACTCAGTTACTGAACTGCTTTTCTTCCGGCATGAAACTCTGGGTTCACCATCTTTCTCTTCCTTGTTAAATTATTTTTTGTTGTCTATTAATGGTCATGCTTTTAAAATTTATTAACTCTTGACAATACATGCTTTTTGATCTATTTAATTATGGAATTATGGTATCTTATACCGACGAGGGGTGTCTATACTAAAATATAAATTTTGAAGTAAATTTACAGTAATTCTGTTTTATCTTCTAGGTCATCTAGGAGTACTGCAAGTACTTCTGCTTTTCAGGCTCCGATTAAAGTCTTAGAGCTGAACTTGCCAGCTTCCCCTTCAAGATCACGTAGCACTTCTAGGCCAGGTACTGCTAGCAGCAGCTCCAGTAACGGTAAAGGTAAAAAGGGCAACAAATAAAACATTTTAATCTCTTTTTTGAGCAAGTTGTAAAAACAAAAACTTCATACTTTAAAATAGTAAATTCTACCCCATTTTTTTGTGTGCTGTATCATAATGACACAAGGAGTCCTACTGAAATACTGTTAGATATAAAAAATGACCAGATAGCCAGTTCTAGCCAGTGGAAAAGATAAAACACTGATGGAGTTAAAAAAAAAATAAAAAAAAGGTGACTTGGGTTCAAGTAAGCCAAAGAAATGTTTATTTTCCTTAGCTTTTTCCTACTGTTTTCTTGATAAAGGAGAAAACAGTAACAGTCTTAACAAGGCTACATGTTGTACATGCTAGGGAAGATGATGTTCTCTGTTATCTTGATGCTGTTAGAAAACAGTGTGCTTCATTATTTCACGCTATCTATGAAACTTCTAATACGATAGAATCTTTTAGGAAGAAAATTTTTAAAGATTCACTGTACTATTAGTGGTTATAACACTACTGTAATTCTCACTCTAGAAGATCCTGAAAATTAGGTTTTCCTTATTGAAAGAAACATATTTCCCAGACTTTTGAGGAAGAAAAATATCTACAAAAGGTAGTTTCTTCTTTTGGTATAATATTTAACCAAAAAATCACACTCACCCTCCCCAGAAAAAAGTGATAGTAAAGAGAAACATTGTGTGTCAATAAAAAAATGCAGTTTAACAAATCCCCGAACACATATACAAATTTGCTCTCAAAACACAACAAAGCATAATGAGTAAGAATATATTTTGGGAATTTCCTTGATTTAATAATTTAAGGAAAGCCAGATGTGACTGATTTGCAATGGGAATTCCACATATTCCCATTTAGTGGAGACTTAAGAGTTCATTTTTCCAGTTAGTACTTTAGGATAACATGTGCCCGACACTTTGAACTCTTGGAAAATACTGTGAAGTACGATTACAGTGTTATAAAACTGGTTTTTAAATAAATGTATCAGAACCTATGTACTTACATCAATGTTGTCTCCTTCCAACCAGCAACCTTGGAAAAAATACTATGACAATTGTCATTGTTTAGACCTGTCATTTGTGGTTCCTTCTTCTGAAAAGCAGTAGTTATAGTAAACTTGTTTCTCTTTTACTTGGATTTTTGTGCAAATGACAGTAGGCACAGTCAAGTGTAATGAATAAGATGGGTAAAAAGCCTGGGCAATCTCAAATTTTGACGAAAATATTATTTTAATCCATGAGATTTTATAAGATCTAAAAACTGATTAACCTTAAATGTTTTGTATGTTCACTAAAGTTCTTACTCTTAGCCCCATAATGTCAGTTTGTAAATTACTTGGAACATGAAATATTAAGCACTGTTTTATGAAGGCAGCCGTTGTATCTTACTAGCTGTGTGACCTTGGGCAAGTTACTTTTCTGTTTTTTTCTCATTTGTAATATGGAAACAGTAAGTTCCATGAGTTATTTCAGTAAACCTAAGTTTATTGAAATAATATATACAAACACACAGGGCCTCTCACATAGTAACTGCACAATTCTAACTACTGAATCACCACCCAAGACCTAGCACAAGATTTTTGTTACGTTCTCAGGCCAGTGTCTACATTTAAGTCTTAAATAAGATTCAATTTCAGTGTGATAATGCTAAATGGTGACATAGGGGATCAACCCCTATAGATCCAAACCTGGAGCTACATCTTAAGGAGTTATCTGTTGTGTTAGAAAGTCATGCTTCATCTACTTATGGAAACCAAGACAAAGCCTGGGTGTGTATAAACTACGTAACAAAAGAAATTGCTGGAGGTATCACTAGGGTTTCTTGACAATGTAAATTCAATATAATGTTTTTTGCTGTGATAGTTGGCATAGTGATGAAGAGCTATGGCTCCTAACCAAAAGGTCGGCAGTTAGAATCCACCAGGCGCTCCTTGGAAACCCTGTGGGGCAGTTCTGCTCTGTCCTGTAGGGTCGCTATAAGTCGGAATCAACTCGATGGCAGCGGGTTTGGTTTTCAGCAGGTTTTGGGCTTCCTGAACATCTTCTTAGAAATTAGTTTGTGTACTCTGCTTAATATGCCCCAGGAAGGTGGCTCTGGGGAAGATGGAATTTCTAAATCAAGGCAGCCTGCTGGATAAGGTATGAAGGGGAAACAGGCTTTGTTAGGCCAAACAGGAGTGCCCTCATGTGGTCCGCTAGTTCACTACAGTTTGCTAAGTCACTGTTACATAAGTCCCTGGCATGTAGCTACTGTTGTCCACGATGCCCTCCTGCTGCAGGGCAAGGAGATCTACTTTGGTCCTGCAGCCGCCCAGCACCTGGCCTCATATGTAAGTTTCCCTAATAAACTCCTTTGCTGCCACACTGAGTTGCCCGCCTCTTTCTTCAGTCTTGGTGCCCTCCATCTTTGGAGGTTTAAGTTTCACGTTACTGGTCTATGCCTGGACAAGGTACTGTCCTAGGTTTTCTGGTACCCAAGTGTAACATTAAACTACAAAGCAGCTTTGGAAAATTACACTGCTAGTGACAGTGATGTTCAAAGAGATTTGTTAGATAAAACGGTATGTTTAAAATTGTAAAGTTGTACCAGTGATTCAAAAAGGTCAAGGGATATGCCAAAAGATAGTTTTCTCTCTTTAAAAAACACTATTACGTAAGGGTGATACACAGAACTGGAGACTGAGTTCTTGGTAAGAAGACTCATGCCTGAGTGACTGGCCTATTTCTACCATTATCTACTGCTTTTGACTAGGGTTTCTTTCCCTTTTCCATTGCAGCTTTTTCATTAGACTCCCATCACTGGAGTTTAAAGGACAAAACCCTGCGCATTCAGTACCTAAAGGTTTGGTATTATACTGTTGGCAAGAACCATAAGACAAGGAATAAAAAATCTCTTCTTCCTCTATCATTGTTAGATCTTTGTAGACGGGATACCCACCTATCCAGTGTCATCATGAATGACAGTACTAAAGGCCCACTGTAATTTACAGCTTCTAGAATTTTAAATTGGGAATATTCTAAAGACCATCATAAACCTAACTGCCTATGACTCGTACCTTTATCTCCCAAGGAGCACATAATAATACTGCTTAGTTATTCTGGGAGAATCCTTACAATCCAAGTCCTTTCCTTCTTTAGCTCTAGCTGTTGGAATTTATTCTGAGTAAAAATCAGGCCTCACTGGTCTAGCCATTTATTCACAGACCCTGAGAAATGAGGCATCGGGAGAGAAGGTGGAAAGAAAAAAGCAGAAATGGTAGGCCAGCTCCAGGCTACTTGAAAACGTGCCCACTGCCTTCCTAAATGGACATTTTGCACTACTAGGACAGTTTCCTAATTTTCTTTCCTAGAGGAAAACCAGATTTACAGTGTACTACTCTTGCCACTGCTATCTGCTTTTCTATTCTGATCTACTCTTGCTTGGAATGATGAAGTCTCTAAGGGTCTTGACAATATTTAAAGTTAAAAAATTTCTTAGGGCTATAATTCTAGCAAGAAGGTAAACAGAGTTAACAGAGAAATAAGCAAAATGAGCTCCTGTTCAACTTCATGGCCTTACTCCTATCATAGTAAAGAACTTGTTGAGCTGGGTAGAAACCAATGGTACACAAACTATTTTAATTAAATAAGGCCTTAGGCCAATTAAACAAGACAGATAATCTACGAGTTTAGAATAAAACAATTGTTAAAATTCAACACTTAAATGATGGATGTAAAATAGTACTTCAGGAACATTCAAACATATAACCTCTTTCAAAAGCTGAGGGCTTTTAATAGAAATTTCGATGAAAACCAAGTGTTCAACAAAGAAATTTTTCTCTCAACCAGCAGAAAGGTGGATCCAGCAATTCTCATCCACCATCATACAATGAAGAAACAATACTTTCAAAGAATTATTTTCAGGTGAACAAGTTAAATCAGAGCAGGAAATACTGTACATAAACATACACGTGGAAACTCTAAAAAACAAGCTGTGAAAAAGGGACCTATAACTGAAACAAATGTAATTTGAGAAAAAGCAAAAACATTTTGCTCTTTGCAATCTCCACAAATAAGATAATTTTAGGAGCAGAGACTTCTGTAACGAAACCGCTATGACTAAAAGACACAAAAAACCTTGAACAGTCTTTAGTGTAACGGTGATTTCCTTGGCATAATAATTACAAATTTTTTGGCTTGTTTCCTTTTTCTTTCTCAAATTCAGCTATCTGATTAAATATATTGAGCAAATTTTGAGGTAAATTCTTCTTCACTCTACTTTCTGATTGCTCTTTGCTACTGAGTCCATCTTCTTCTGGAACCTCTGTTTTAGCATCTTCCCCACAACTGTCCTCCCTTTCATACTCTCCTTGATTAGTATTTAATTGGTATCTTTGCTCATGTTTACTAAAATCACGCGATCCAGAATAAGTACACTTTTTATATTTTTCAAGTGACTTCCAAGAATACTCTGAGCTTGCTGGCGAAGCAGAGTATCTCCCCGACCCTGGCTCCCACCTTCTAGACTGCTCTTTTCTTCCCTCTACATCCCTGTCAACTCTCCTATAACCGTAATTTTTTATCTTGTCCTCTGAACTCCTACAGAACGAATCTGCAGAATCTCTTCTATTGGAAAAATGTCTTTCTGATTTATATGGCTTTTCTGTCTTGCTACTACTCGCCTGAGTTTTACAGCTATTATAAAAATCTCTTGGATCTTCAGACCTACCTCCAGAATCATCCGGAATTTCAACTGAAGATGAAGAGAGAGGATATCTATCTTTGTCTTTTACCTGTGTCTTTTGATATGGTAACCTATCCTGCTTTTCCAATAGTTTTTCCACTTCTTGTTTTTGGTTAAGAAAAGATGCTGAAGTATTGACTGGAAGTGGGTAGTACTCATCTTGCCTATTCTGATCTATCTGACTTGAGGATGCCTTAGATGAATGCCTTTTGGAACTGCGAGATGACTCTGATCGGTTCCTCTTACGTTTCTTACGCCTTTTGTGACTGGAAGAGGAAGATGATGATGAAGAAACTGACTCATCAGCAGAAGAAATACTTGAAGAGGAAGAAGTTGATTTTCTTTTTTTCTTCTTCAACCTAAAAAATGTAGTTAACTCATCAGTTATGTAAGTACAAAAACGTTTCTAAATTACCCATAAAGATTTTGGTACTGCTCTGTTCCCTTTTCAGGACATCTTAAAACTGTGATGTAGACAAATGATAGTATAATAACCTGCTAGCACAAGATCTAATTTGACTTTTGGGCAGGTGTCACTGTTAGCAAATCCATCATTTCCAACACTACCATAAAAACTGAGGCCTCCCTAAACACATCAAGGAGAGAAGTGAAGTGTTCTGTCTGCTAGCTCTGGTTCCTGGTTTCTCCACCTCAGCACTAACGGCGCTTTAAGCCCAGTAATTCCTTGTTGTGGAGACTGTCCTGCACACTGTAGGACGTGTGGCAGCATCCCTGGCCTCCACCCACTAGATGCCAGCAGCAATCCACCAGTCATAAAAACTCAAAAAAGTGTCTCCAGACACCGGCAGACATCCCCTGGAGAGCAAAATCGCCCCCAGTTAAGAATCACTTAACTCTAGTTCTAAAACATTTTTCCCTAAAAATTTGACAAAATAACTCCTTATGTATTTTAATTCTAAGGTTAATTCTTTTTTGTAGTCTTAGATTCCACTTTGCTTAGGTTCATTTTATACAAAAACATGTGGAACACATACCTGCTAAGAATTCTTAACATCCATTATCACTTGAAATACTTTTTTTTTTTTACTTTACCTCAGCATGGCACTTTGGTTCAATTCAGTAGTTGCTTTAGGTTAAAAAATACTGAATGTTAGAGTTTACCTTTTCTCTTCCTTTAAGAGCTTACGCAATTTTTCTGCACTTGTTTCTATTTTCTTTGTTTTCTGTCTTTCTTCCTTTTCAGCTTGTTTTTCTCTTAATTCCAAAGATTTCTTTTAGAACCCAGATATCAGGAAAAAACCACACGTTAAAAATAGCAGAAAATATAAAACCCAGTATTCAAAAAACCAATCCCCAACCAGCAACCAGGTTTAGTATACCCAAATCACCATATTATCCAGCATTAAGCAAGTATTTTTTAACATGTGAAAAATTAATCATGCAGATGTTTGGCATTAACCATTGGAATGGCCAGAACGGTATTGAGGACCATATTGCAGTCGGTATCCCATGAAAAAAGAGGAAGCCATTGCATTGGTACCCATGACCCAGAGTGCAAGAAATAGGTAAAATGTAAAATACATGAAGAATTATTAAAGAAAATAAATAAAAATTTCAATAGGACACAGATTTTACAAGTAAAATTAAATAAAGAAATTCCATTAAGGTGAATGGAGGGAGGAATCACCATGTTCATATACAAACCATTTTACAAATAGCACGGCCCAGTTGGATGCATGATTACATAAGAAATCGTTTTCCAGTTTGTGGATGGGGATGAGCAGCACCAGATGTCACAGACACAGCAGCAATGTTCCAAGTCAGAAGAAAATACGTGAGAAAACATCATCATCAGTATTACAGGAAAAGATACTTTTTAAAAATATTTCTTAAAAAGGTTAGTAATTAGCCCACTTATAGCAGCAACACTGATAATTCTGTTAACCACCAGGAAAGTTCCTCACAAGAACAGTTCTCAAAACCACGTACCAAATTTAGGCAACAAAATTTTCTCACAGCGTTTTGTTTTTTGTTTTACTTCTGAGTACTAACAACGCGAAGAGGCACTATGAAGTCAATTTCAAACCCAATTAGTAAAAGCTGTATCTAAAAAAAAGAGACTTCATAATGCATCATTTAAGTATTCTACAAGTTTTCTCCAGAAGAGAGTTAAGTTTGACATTAATTTCAATTATCACTAATTTTCTAAGAGGAAATAAAGAATCACCTGCATATATTTATGAAGCTTTTGCAAAGCATCCTCTGCATCTTTAAAAGTCTCATCCAAAGCCAGAGCTTTCTTATAGTAACTTTCAGCATTTAAAAACTTTTCTTCTTCTTCTAACCTGTATTTGAAAGGAAGATTTAGTTTTATAAAAAGTTCTTAAATACAAGTCAGAGACTTTTATAAGAGGACTTACTAGGGAAGAATAATGTTTAGCAAATTATTTTCCAAAATAAACAATACCTAAATCATGTGCTTTTTACTTATGTACTTGGAAAAAAGACTACATAAAACACAGAAATCAATCCCTGAAACTACTGCCCGGAGATAATCTTTAAACCTTAACCAAAAATATCCCCTTTTCTTAAAACCAAACAATAATTTAGCTTAACTAGTAAAGACTGTCTGCCTTGAGCATTATGCTGTTTTAAGAACCATCTATATGCGATCAAATTGACAACAGCAGCTTGGAAGATTAGATGGGAACCTTAGGGGACAGTGAGATTGTTAATGGTGGAGGAACAACTCAGAAAAAGAGGGTGAGACTGGCTGCACAACTCAACGTAATCAATGTTACTGAAATGTACATGCAGAGTCTGTACAACTGGTGTATATTTTGCTATGTATATTCTCAACAACAAAATAAAAAAAAAATCAATTACTAATAACTAAAGTCATACTGTGTGTCCAGAATTGACATACTGCAGCAGTAATATTAAAAATACACTATAAGCCAGTGTTTTTAGCAAATTTAGTATGATCTTGACTTTTAGAACAGAATTACATAGGCTGGCTTTTCCTAACAGTTTATGAGGAGTTTTCCTCTCTATAGAAAATTTTTCTGATAATTTACTGCTAAAGTTCTTTGGAAACGCTAACACACACGTATCAAAACCAGTCTGTAAACAGGATAATTATTAGATGAAGATCACAAGACTGTGCTGTGAAAAATCAAAATTAGAAAGTTTCTACATAGAACAGTGAAACGATTTTGCAAAATACTTTGTTTTTAAAAAGATCAAAAACGTAGTATAAAACAAAACAAAACAAAAAAACCCAAAAACGTAGTATAAAACAAAACAAAACAAAAAAACCCAGTGGCTTCAACGGGATCACTGTTGCGTGAGTATACCACTTGTGAGAAGGGACAAGTCAAAGATGACATCTCTGGCCTGGATAACTGGATGGATGGAACTGCCATTCACTCAGCTGAAAGACACCAACCATATCTAGGTAGGTACAAGCTATCTAGCAAGTGAGGAAGTAAAACGCTGCTCCAATCACTTCAGTCCAACTGGAAGTTCATACGAGCAAAAACCAAATATTGCAAAATCTCATTAGTTTGAAACTTGTGATCATTCAAACTGAAATGATCATACAAACAGAAATGATTAAGTAAATTCATGAAACAGGAAAGAATTGTACCTATTTAAAAGAATTAATAGCAAAAAGATGCTACTGCTATAGTATAAACTGGCTTTCAATTATTAAAGCAGACTGTTCCCAGATTTATATATGGAGTATGTTTCTTTGAAATACTTTGTAAATTAGACTGGCCTGTTCATTCGTTAAATATTTACAGTGCAACTAAGTATGCCAGGCATCTCAGGATGATAAGGTATAAGGGTTATTCTTAAGGATTTGCTCTTCAGTTTAATCTGTATTTGTGGGTTTTCCTGGACAGAGTGGAGTAGTAAGCTTAATGTAACTTATGAATCTTGATTCACAATTAACTACAGGAGCCTCATTTGACATTTCTAGCATTACACTATTAGAATGATAAAATGAATTAGAAATTAAATCCCTACTTATTAAAAACTTCCAATGTATGTCCAAGAACACTTATCTAATTTCTTGTTTCTTTACATTTCTATTTCTATGCAATGAGAACAGACATTCAGGACAATGAACTTGAGACAGTAAGAATGTCTCCAATCATAAAGAACCTTAGTAATAAGGCAGGAAAAAAAGAAATAGAAAATTTAAAAAGACCACCTGTATTAAAAAACACATGTTCAACAAAACTGATTTGTTCTGAACTGATTTAATGATGCTATTTCCTTATGCTAAATTCAAGATTTTATAGTAGCTGGCTGAATATTAAACCCACTGCCGTTGAGTTGATTCCAACTTACAGCAGCCCTACAGGACAAAGCAGAACTCCCCCACAGGGTTTCCAAGGCTGTAATCTTTACAGAGGCAGACTGCCACGTCTTTCTCCTGCACAGTGGCTGCTGGGTTCAAACTGCCAACCTTTCGGTTAGCAGCTGAAGACTTAATCACTGCACCACCAGGGCTGAGTATCAGACCTCTGCTATTAAAAATATCTGACACTTACTGCCCTCCTCTTTCTACAAGTGTCTGGCAGAGGTATTTTCTTGCATTCCTGTGAGTTGGACAGTTTTCCAATGCAAGCTCAAAATCTTCTATTGCTTTGTTCAGACTTCCTTTCGTTGCGTATCTAGAAACATGAAACCATCGTTAGAGGAATTGACCTTGTGAGCTGTATGTACACCCTGTACACATTCACCTCATAAACACTCCTTAAGGTCCACGATTCACTTACAATGCTCCCCTGGCTACCAAAGCCTCCACGTTCTGTTTGTCTATTTCCAGAGCCTTATTGTATTCATTCATAGCATCAACATGGCGTCCAACCTTAAAATAATCAACTCCAATCTTCACACTAAAAAGATATTTGTAAAGCATCACAAACATTTCACAGAAAAGCCAAATAAAATGTTGGCATGAATACATTTAAAAACAAGTGTCATCAAATTTGACAAATACTTTGTTTTCGATATTCTCAATATACATAAACACTTTTGCCTTTAAATATTTTCATAACAAATATTCACGAAATCCAGTTATCAATATATTAATTCTTTTTAAAAAAACTAAAAAAGTGTGGATAAATTTAGGTCTGTTATGTTTACAACATAATACTAAAACCTATTAAAAAAAAAAAGCTAACGTCAAAAAGATGGATTTTGCATCACTTATAAACACATTTGGTCTTAATTATAAATACATTCTTAACAGAATGCTTGCCTTACCCCAACCTTTTAGACTAGATGATGCAATTGTTGAAAGACAAAGTCTTCATACCATTTTAAAGCCCAAGATGCAGACTGTTTCTTTCTTAATGCAGAAGCATAATCATCTTCAGAGAAATTTTTGCTATTAAAGAAAATAAAAGTCAAACTGTAAATACTTTTTTTTTTTAAGAAAAACTACACTCTGCCTGACACACAGGCACTCAACACTGAATGAATGAATACCAAACAAGAAACCTGTATTCTCTTTACAGAGCAAAATGCTTGAACCATCATTACTTATTTCTATAAAACATACAGGACATTCTTTTTATAAAAGTTTTCATATAGTTCTCTACTTGGTCACATGGTTTACACCTAATTGTTGGTAAAAGACTCCATTCCAGGAGGAGACGGGATCCCTGGCTCACTGAACCTTTGGCACACTGCTGGGCCCAGGCTTAGGATGCCAAGGAAGCCCCTCGGCTATGCAGCTTCTGAGCCCCACATCACTCCCCTCAGCACCTAACAGAGTAACACTGATTCAGTATACCTCTGCAGGCCTCTCATTAAAGATGGTGGATTAGATTCATCTATTCCTAGTTTTCCTAGAAGGTATTCAACTACTCCTGGATTAGCAAATCCCAAGGAACTCTGCATGATATTTTCATAGGACTCCAAAGAGTTGCTGTTCAGTTCAACACTCCTCCTTTAAAAAAAAAAAAAAACAAAAAAAAAACAAAAAACACAGCAAAAACATAAAAAAGACTAATAAAAAGAACACTGTACATGATTCTCCAATTGTTACCAATATTCTACATCACACAATACTTTTACAGTTCTTCTGTAATAGCTAATTAGCACATCCCATTTCTACTAAAGAAATAACGTTACCATATGGTAACACATGTACCATGTTTGCACATGAAGGCGTGGTAGTAGTATATGGCTCTTTCTACGAAGTTTGAAGTCATTTAAGGGTTATAAAAATAAACCGAGCACATTTTACAATACAAAAATTTAAATTCTAAGCTATTACCTGAATTTGACAAAATTTGTTTTTTATCTTATAGAAACAAACTGTTGTTGAAACAATATGGATTAATTACCTGTAGTACAAAGGAAGCTCTTCAGAACTAATAACACCTAATTTAATACCAGATAAGTGTGGCGGAAGAGATGAGCTGTATAGAGATACTGCAAGTTTTTCATGATATCTGTCAATATCCTTGATTCCAGCTAAAAAATAAGAGGACCAAGCTGATTAATAAGAAAACGTAAGCTAATATAAAAAATATAAAACTTTCTGAACATTACTCGCAGACTACGTTTTCCAAATTAACGAAAACAAAACTGACAACTGTTACTATTTTATTAATATGAGGAAATGAATCACCTCGGATGACGTCACCGGTTTGGTAATAGGACAAAGGGTCCCCGTGGTTACTGTGAGAAGGCACGTCTCTCAGTGGACAAAGAGCCTGCAACCACAAGTGTTGGAAAAGACCAGGTCATTCTTTGGTGAGATCAGCATTCTTTTTTATCCTACTTGTTCAGTACAACAGCTGAGAGTTGACACAGACATTAAAAATCAACAGCACTCTGAAGTCTAAATTTAAATAAGGATTTTAATTACTAGTAACTTCTGTGCCCAAACACAATAACACGTTTTCTGGTTCCATTCAGAAACTAGAGTCTCAAGAAACCTTTCAATTAGTTTTAGAAACCAAATATAAGTACAGATTATGAAAGAAAAAGATATTTTGTACTTGTCAAAATGAAACTAAAATCTGTCCAGAAAGTATAAGGATCCCAGTGAAAATGAATGTCAATTCCCCAAAGTTTATATGTCTGTTATCCAGTCTGTGATGGCTTCTACTTTTCTTCCTTTTTCATCTGCCTGGACAGGTAAAACCAAAACCAAACCCAAACCCATTGCTCTCAAGTTGATTTCGACTCACAGAGACCCTATAGGACAGAGCAGAACTGTCCCATACGGTTTCCAATGCTGTAAATCTTTAAGGAAGCAGACTGTCACAACTTTCTCCTGCAGAGGGGCTGGTGGGTTCGAACAGCTGACCTTTCTGTTAGCGGCTGAGCACTTAAACACTGTGCCACCAGGGCTATAGCAAATACAAACCTTTTAAAGTTACGTATTATTTCAAATTCAGGACTATTCACTGTGGGCAAAGTATCTTATTATAACGTACAAATAATTTACTGTAAATACACCACCAATTTTTCTCTAACTTATCCACATGAAAGTATCTACTGCCATATATTAAGAATGTCTTCACCTAGAATACCAACAAACCTTGCCATGTTCACTAATAACCTCTTTGAACACTGAAAAAATGGGACCCCACCCCTTCCAACCACAGAGACCCAAAAGCTTGAAATGGAGAAGGAAACTGTGCAACTCTTTCACTTTTAATAATGTTTTCAAAAGAAACTAGTTTCCTTAGCTAATACTTTAATTCCCAACTAGATGCAAAGACTTAATTCTTGCATTCAGATGACTGTCAAAAACAGAAGTAATCCAAGTAACTGAAAAGCGATTAACTTACTGTGATTTCTAAGTGGGATATATCTCTCATGATGCCACTGCCTAAACAGATCAACACCATGAAAAACCCAAATTCCCGAATGGAACTAATTCTTCCAATCACTATATCACCACGCTCAATATCTCGGAAAAACAGCTCCCTTCGGTCCACACTAGGTATCTCCATAAATTGCTCTAAAGGTGGCATGACTGCATAGTGATCTGGAAAAAAATAACAAAATCACTCACAGTATTTTTGGGTCCTATGTCATCTGAAAGTACCGTTAACCTGCACCGCTATCTTAAGACTGAACTCACCTTCACTGTCCTCGTTAACGTCAGAAACTGCAGGCGCATCTGACTTCCACGAAACCGCAAAAAGGAGATCTGCTTTTTTGGAAATGAATTTCTGTATTTCAAAGTCGTCAACTCTCTTCTCTTTTCTTAAAAAGAAAGAAAACATAAAAACGGGTTTATCTGCAAAGCCTTTTAGTATATCCAAGCTTCTATAACAGAACGCCTTTCATCCTAAACTTCATGCCCGGAGAAAAAGCTTTAACGCGGGCTTCCGTCACTCGCCAGGCTGGAGCTGGAGGGGCGGGCAGATGGGGAAAGGGACGCCCCCAGCGCCAGACGGGAAAGCCCAGGGATCTTGGCAGCGGGAAGAAAAGTTTCGACGGCGTCCAGCATTTCCCACACCGGGTGCGCGCAGCGCCTCCGCCCCGCACTCCGCCCGGCGCGGCACTCCCGACCCGCTCACAACGCAGGCGGCGCGACGCCCAGCGCAGCCGAGGTGCGTCCCGCCCCGCTCCCGCAGAGGCGCCGCTGCACTTACCTGCCCTGTAACTGGGGCGGCGGGCCCCGGGCAGGCTCAGCCGCCGACCCCAGGAGGCTCCGGAAGTGCGGATTGTCCTGCTGCTCGTTCCGGAGCAGGGAGAGCAGCGACGGCCCATGGCAATTCAGCGACTGTCGCAGAAGGTCCCGGTCCATGGCTAGAACTTGCTGGACCCGAAGGCCAGTCGGCTGCCAACTCCTCCTGTTCCGTGCCCACTACTTCAGTCCGTCGGTCTCAGAAGCGCCCATCCCCTTCGCTTCCACGGTTGCCTCCCGGAAGTGTTCCTAGTCGCCCCTAGCGGCGCAGCCGCAGAGCTCAGCGTCGTCTCGCGAGACCGAGCGAGACAACGGAAGCCGTGAGGCTTGAGCTAAGCGTTTCCTCAGCTGAGGGCCGACGAGGGACTGGAGGCCGTCATGTGTGAGGAGCTTGAGTCTTAGCTTCCGGAGTATCCTTGTTAAAGTGAAATGACTGGTTATTGAAAATCTTTCTGTGAGAATTACAGAGAGCCTTTGGCCCGGACTCTAGGGTAAATAATTCATGCACGTATTTATTGAGCCTCTCTTAAGTGCCATTCCCGGAGTGAGAACCCCGAGCGAGTCACACAGAGTTCCCCCCTGAAAGTACTTACTGGCCGTAACCACGTTGAAATGGTTGCTTTGGGAAGATTTTCTGGTAGGCTAAAGGGCAAAAGAAAGACACCAACATTTATTACGCGCTGGAGTTGTATTCCCCACCCATACCCCGTTCGCTGTTAGCGATTTAAGTGTCACCTAAAGCAAGATGACTAATGCCCAGGCATCTGCATATATGTGGGTGGCGCAAATGGTTTGCGCTCAACTATTAACCTAAAGGTTGGCGGTGGAACCCACCCAGCAGCTCCACAGAAGAAAGACCTGGTCATCTGCTTCCATAAAGATTACAGCCAAGAAAACCCTATGGAGTAGTTCTAATCTGTCAAATGGGGTCCCATGAGTCGGAATTGACTCCATGGCAATGAGTGTGTATATATATATATATATATATGTATATATGTATCTATATATATATGCATATGTATATATATATGTGTATATACATATAGCGAAATCACGCAGCCTCGTTAAAATTGAAAATAAGGAATTTTTTTGAGGGAATAGAGACAGCTGCAGCGGAAACGAACATTGCAATGGGGAAACGTGGAGTCCCAGCAAATGGAACACACAAATCCAACGGGGAGCAATTAGGAGCAGCCATTGGAGGCACACAGTTACAGGGCTGGAGGAGAAAGTACGAAACACAATATTCTGATTGGTTTACAGTGATTGGTCAGTCAAAGGCAAGACAAAGTAAGCATAATCTTTGTCATTACTGGTTACATGAATACATTGATTGGCTAAAAGACATAATTGAAAGACATGGGGTCAAGGACGGGGCGCTTCATGTTGGTTGCAAAGCAAAGACATGATGGAAATTTTCAGGAGCTGTCCATTAAAGGTTACCTTGCTCAGTGTCAATATCAGGAGGAGACTGGGAACAAGGTTTCCATGAGATATTCACATTCTTTAGCCTGACTGAAAAGAAACTTATTTTCTTAACCATAATAGGGATTGGTCCCTAGGCAACAAAGGTAGAGTCTGGGGTAAGGTTACATTGAGCTCTTAGAGTTAGCTCAGTCATTTTACAAATAGGTCAGATGCCTCTGTTTTGATTTTAGCCCTAATTAGTGTATATATATTCCTTTCTATTTCTTTAGTTTATCTCAGTGGTTTCTCAAAATTCAGTGTTCATTAGACTTACTGTATGGTGTACAGTGTTGTGTACACAAAACTCAACACAATGTTATTTTTAGATGCTGTCCAGTCAATCGCAGCTCCTAGTGACCCCCTGTGACAGAGTAGAACTTCCCCATAGGGTTTCCTAGGCTGTAATCTTAACAGGAGCATATTGCCAGGTCTTTCTCTCGCAGAATGGCTGGTAGGTTCAAACCACTGACCTTTTGGTTAACAGCCAAGCATTTAACCATTGCACTAGCAGGGATCCTTTTAGCTAATGCTAATTTTGAGATGATGTGGTTTTGTTTGTATTCCAATATATTAAAATTAGTACCATTTAAGTGTGTAATTTTTCAATGAAAATAAATGGTAGCAGTTGGTCTGCCACTCTCCATCTATGTGTCTTTGGGAAGGTCAACTTGCCCTTCACTGTCTGAACAGCTGGATAGAAGACCAGGCCCGGAATATAGTGCATCGTGTGAAAAGTTCAGGCAAATAGGTAAATAGTTTACTGAGACTTGGGAAGGTACAACAAAGAAGAATGCAAGTTTAAAAGAATACATTTCCAGTTAGTATGGGCACACCAGGAAACTTTAATAAGTGGTGCAGACTGATTTGGATTGTCATAACTCTAGAGAATGACCGTTATTAGCAAGGAGGGTGCTGTCACTGAAAAGGAAAGCCCGTCACTAAAAATTAACTATATAGACATTCTGGTAAATAAGTGATTATAGTCAGTCAGTCTGTCATCAGGACCTAATTATCCCTGGAGAGACTGAGACCCCAAGTGTCTGAGAACCAGACCCCAGGGAGTGGTACCTAGCCTGGGAATGCCACTTGGTGAGACCATTCCCTAGTAGCACATGTCTTCATCCCTGTGGGCTTTGCTGACCCTTCGTTCTAATTCTAACACTTGAGCAGCCTCCAGCCATTCCATGTCTTAAACATCTGAAGCTGCTGTAAGATAGCCATGGAGACAGGATAAAGTAGCTGCTTTTAGAGGGTCGGCAGCATTCATCAAGAGTAACATTGAATGCCTGCTATGTACAGAGCAGTGTTAGAAATAATGCAGTACAATCAGGTGGAACTAAAACTTAGGCTGGGGTTTCTGCCTTCTGGCCTTAAATGTAGGTAACCAAAGTAGTTAGGTGCCAGAGATAAACTTGTTTTTCATGCCCCAAATACCATACCCACCTCAGGGGATAAAGCCTTTTACAATTACAGGTGTACCTGAATTCATTCTGCTGACAGGATATCTGACAGATATCCCTTTGACTTTAAAGGGGGCAGGGTACTGGATCTTTGAAGCAGGAGTGGAGGGAACAAGGAGAGATGAAGTGAGATTATACACAGAAAAGGGAGTCAGGGATACAGAAGACAAACATCACAGAGATGCCAAGGATTAGTCCTAGTAGTTAGGTGCCTCTTTCATACATCACGTTTTAGTCTGCCTTCTTAAGGGAGAGAGAAAAGGAAATCATCTGCTCGTAGTTTTGCTTCGTGGAGAAACCAGTCCAGGTGGGGTTTCTTAAAGGGGACACAGGAAGAAAACAGCTTTTTTTTTTCTTTTCCTTTCCAGTTCTTGCTTTGCCTTTTTGTTTACTAGTTTTTCTTTTTCTCTAGAAAACTTTATTTTTTCCTCTCTCTCTCTGTTTTGAAGGGTCAGCTAACCATTTGGCCTTTATTAATATTTTCCAAGAAAAATTTCTAGATTAAACGTGAATAATTAAGTGAATTTGTGTAGGTGGCAGGGAGGGAAAAGGCAGGGTATTCACTAGTCAGATATTTGGTGTCTGGCTCCTTTGCTTATTTTTGTTGTGATGTCGAGTTCCATTTCTAAATGAACATGTACATCATTTTAACAAACATTCTCTAGGCTCTGGAGATATAAAGGTGAAGAAAACACTCCTGAACCACTCCTCGAGTGGCTCACAGTCCAGTGGAGGAGCAGACATAATAAATATGGCACAATGGTAAGTACTATTTTAGTGGACACCTACTAGGTCTGCTTAGATCCCTCTTCTCTGGGAAGTAGAATAGTGGGAGCTGATGGAGTCAGGAGAGGGGACGTGAAACAAGTTTGTGCATTCTGGGCAAAGGACGGAATATATTTAAAGAAGTAGAAATGTGAAAAAGCAAGACACATTCTGGAGATTGCAAGGGTGAAATTGAGATAGGTAGGTATATTTTAGTTATGTAGCATGTCATTTCAGGTAGGCTATAGACCCCCTGCTTCCTCTGCACCCCCTCCCCCAGAGTAAGATTAAATTCCTGATTTATTTAGCTGTTAAAGAGTAATGAATGCATACTCTGTTGAAATTAAAGTGAAGAGATTTATTGAAGTTTTGAAAGCAGTCCAGACCGGGGGAAATGTCTGATCTCACTGAGTAGAACAAGTGCTCCCAAAATGGCGAAGCTGCCGAGACTTTTTAAAGGGTAGTGCAAAGAACCTAAGGTGCACTATTTCAACTGGACATTATGAACTTAGATAGCATATATGGGCTAAGGGGATTGGACACAGCACATAATAGCAGAGGAGTATGCCAACGGGGTTAGTGATTGTATACTGGATCTATTTCAACTTGAAGTCTTTTGAAATGTAAAGGTTGGCCATCTGGTTAGGAAGGAGTGAGAGCCTAGATTTTTTTTTGAGAGTGGGTTGTTAAGATAATTGGCTTAAGGCAAAACCAATTCTTGAGGACATCTTACACAAAGAGTTTGATAACTGAGCAACAACCCCAGGAAGCATTCTGCTGGCATTCCTTTTGGCTTAATCATAGAAAAAAATTTCCTTAGCTGCACATTTAAGTCTGTACAAACATCAACTGTGGCTAGGGAAGAAAACAGAACTTAACAAAAGAAGGTTTGGCCCAGACCTCAAGCCAGCTGTTTCAGATTTACCAGGCACCCTGATTTTAAAAGCCCTTACACATAGCAAAGAACACAGACATTAGCTGAAGCATAGTAGCCACGTAAAGCAGGGCAGGAGCAGCCTATCAGTGTAACTTTTCTTGGACCTTCTGAGTTTTTCAAAATAACATGTATAGATGCTAGTAAAACTGTCTACAAAAGATAAGGTCTGTCTGTTTTCCAGATTCTGGATGCTCAGATTATTTGGGAAAGATTTATACAAATAATCTATAACTTTATAAGAAATATTTACACATAGTTCCTTGATTCAAACAATTTCAACAAGGCTTCATCTCGTCTGGGGTTAGGATGGTAAACGAATAATTTCTTTTGTAAGGATCGGCACAAAGCTAGTTCCTATGAGGCAGAGGTTAAAGATGTCCCAGATGTCTCAATGGCTAACTTTTCTAAGCTGCTGTACCACTCCATCATTTCTAACATCAACTACTCCCTCTCATCTCAATACTCTCTCTCGTGTCTCTGGGTTCCCTGATTTCTTATAAGTCTCACAGAACTCACGGACCATATAAAGGAAATGGCTTATGAGGTTTTGGAGGCTGGCAAGTCTCAAATTCGTGGGTCAGGCATAGACTTCTCCCTGGCCCTCAGTCTCTGCC